GTAACGAGAATGCTAGTGAAAACACAGGTGAAAGCTTGAAGATCAAAAACCTCGAGAGCAAAATCAATACATTGATTTCCGCTCAAGAGATGAAGAAAACGAGCATTCCCTGTCCATACCCAAGAGAGTGGGAATCGATCCCATATCCGGCGAAGTTCAATCTAATTAACTTCACGCCGTTTAATAGGATGGGTTCACCTACTCAGCATTTGATTTTGTTCGCTGGAAAATTCGTGTCTTTCTTTGTTATTGATTCCATTGTCATCTTGAGTTACAACTTTTTGAGTTACAAAAGATCCGGTCTTTTTATAAGATCCGGTTACAACGAAAATCAAATAAAAATAAACAAAGATTACAACTTTTCTCCTTTTGTGTCGAACGAATCGCGAGCTCCTGTTTTGCGGTCGCTCGCTTTGTGGGTTCTTTGCCTGCGCCGGGGTTGTTTGCCGTGGACCACCGCGAGATCTAGATCCGGTCGGATCTACGCAGTACGACGGGTATTATTTCACCAAGGAAATAATAGCCGGGGAGGATTGTTTCACCAAGGAAACAATCGTCCAAGTCTCGGGATCTAAGACCAAGCTTAGATCCGGAGTATGCCTGCGTAGATCTGAGATCTGATCCTCTCGAACACCTGCCTTATTTGACGTTGATGATCGCCGAGCACCAGATCTGAAGGAGTGAGTCCCCGAAGTCCCAAAGTTTCAATCTTTTTTAAGTTCCGAGTCTCCAATCCAGCAGGGCTTCGCCTCTCTCCAAATTTTCCAACCTTTTGAAATGAAGAACCCCTTGGCCTATTTATAGGCTCTCGTTACTGTGCCCGTGCCCGTGTGCACGTGTGGCCAGCTCAAGGTGGCCGGCCACCTCAAGGGGGCTCGGCTCATGCCGAGCCACCAAGAGGTGGCTCGGCCGGCCACCTTGGTGGCTCGGCCACCGAGCCACCTCTTGGTGGCTCGGTGGTGGCCGAGCCACCTTGGTGGCCGCCGAGCCACCAAGGAGGTGGCTC